TTTTTTTTTTTTCTGGAAACCGATACTTCAATCAATCCCCTTTTATATCTCGCACAAACTAAAAAATATAAAAGGATAATCCAACTTAGAAAAACAGATACGAAAAAATTGGAGCCGCGAAGTTTGTAAAAACTGAGACATCGCTTTCCATTTTCATCTCGCAGAAGAAAAAATAATGGAAAGTACGGAACTAAGACTAGAAAAAGTAGTGAACAATTTAGAGCGGCGGAGGTTTGTAAAAAGTGAAACGAACCCTAGGGCTACTCCATATCAAGCATTTTGTCCAATTTTAGTAACTTTATTGAAGTCGTCGGACCAAAATTTAGCTTATAAATGGACTATTTTATTAAATCAAGTCGTGGCCCGTTTGAAAAACAACCACTAAAAATGTCACAAAGATTTTGGACCGTTTAATAGCATGATACGTGTTGACCCAAATGTGAGATGAGTAATGCTATATGTACATAATGTTGTACATAGAGGTGTACATAACACTCACATCGAGTGGGACCCACTAAAATTAAAAAATCAAGTGGACTCCACTCCATGTGAGTGTTATGTACATCTTTATGTACATTTATTATGTATATGTAGCATTTTTCAATGTGAGATAGTTCATCATAGCGAATACATTTGTTTGAAAGCACAACATTATTGTCAATATTTGCATTACATAATTTATTTTTAATATGATAAATAAAATAATAATAGCATATTATTTTAATAAAGACATTTCATTATTAAGTTTTTTTATTATAGTAAAAAAATAATTTATTGGTAATGTGCATGAATATTTAACTAATAAATATAATGAATATAATGTAACTGAATAATTACAATTAGATATTAAATACATATCAGCAAAGGAGTGAGGTGTACTATACTTTCCTTTATTAATTTTATATTGTCCTGATTATGGAATAATATATATTGCTTTAAAAAAGTTAACTAAAATACATCTAACATTTTATTTATAAAGTATTTATTTTTGTTTTACGCAAAGTCCTTTTTAGTACATACAAATCTATATATCTATATTGATTTCTATATCTATATATATATTGTACTTGAAATAGAAACTAAAATTATGCCTAAAATTTTTAAAATTAATAAACTTGATATTTAAAAAAATTTTAAAAAATTCTGCCTCTAAAAGTTAATTAATCAATTTATGGTATAAAATTGACAAAATTAATACATCTGATTTTGGTATAGAGTTGATGAATTTATTTTGTATAAATTGTCCGAATATAAATGGAATAAAAAATATATGGTACGGATAAAAGTGCATTTGAAAATTGTAAAAACAAAATAAGTGGTATGAATTTTATTTCATATGGGTTTAAAAGTCAAATTTTAGGATGATTTGTTATAAAATCAAGGTATGATTCTCAAATTTTAGCATATTCTCATAATAACTTGCCATAAAATAATGATGATAATCAAACAAATTAGTATGTATTTCTCTTCAAAATTAGAAAGATCGTTAAATAAATATTGATTAATAAAATTTAAAATTTGATTCTAACGAATTAGTTGATAAAATTATACAATAAGATAACCGACAACAAATATATATATAAGAGAATTTACTGTGTAGTCCAAATTTGGATTCAAAATTCAAATAAGTAACTATTCACAACTTACGGGTCAATACCAACTTAGACGTAAATGAAATAGTCAATTATTTATAGTTTAATAAATTTACTAACTTTGATGTAAATAAATAATCAATTATTTATAGTTTGATAAATTATTCAACTACTCAGTTTTTATTTTTTTATTTGGATTGCTTATCAAAAAATTATTTTATTTTAATTAATATAACAATATAAGTTTTATAATCATAGTTAATATTCACATAGTTTTTTTTATATATATTATAAAACTTTACCACAATATTTATTTTATAGAGTCACAGTGTAGTCATATCGAATTTTAGAATACAAATTTTAAAATGACACTTATTTTATTTTGAAATGAATATAATATAATTTATTATCAGTTACATGTATCGTATTAATTGTGTTCATTTTAAATAGTTATATATTATGTATTTTTTAACAATTAATTCCATATAACATTTTCAACAAATTAATATAGGTAAATTATATTACATATTTATTCTATATTTTTATTTTATAAATATTATTTAATTATCATTTTTAATTTATAATATTAACGAATATCTTTTACCCGTGGGTAAATTGTATTACATATTGATTCAATATCATTTAATGAGCATTTTTAATAATAAATATCAATGAACATCTCTTACCCGTGCATCGCACGGAATTCGTACTAGTATTAATAACCGTTAATGAAAAATGAAGACAAAATTATAAACTACTAATTATTCTTATATAAAATTTCAATTTAATTTTACTGTGCATATTTCTCAATATTCCGCAAACAAATCAAGGCATATGATGTCCACAAAGTAATGTACCATCATTAGAAAATAATATCAAAACTATAGGCGATTGAAAATTAAGGCAATTTCAGGCAGGGTTGTTTAATTAATAATGTAAGTTGTTTATTTATTGGAGTTATGGCTATAATTTAGATTTTGGCAAATTACTGTTGATCTCATAGAAAGGATGCAAACATATTAACGACATCCATTCTACAACGAAGATCAACGAAGGAAGATATCACACATTGTATAATATGTACAAACAAAAGGGATTTGATTATACAAGAAATCTTGCATATGCTCATGTTCAAACAGAAGGGCCCAATCTAAGCACCCTTTCTAGTCTCTCGGCCCTGGAATAATCGTTTTCCGTAAGAGGGCCAGCTGGAAAAGGAGTAATTTCCACAATCAAATGTGGTGTCGGGAGCTCATCGAACAAAGCACGCACGTTGTTACAGCAAACACTTTCCCCATGAGCACTTTCTCTCCGAATCTGACAGCCCTGTGAAGGGAGAAGGATTAAGTAATTTAGTTATCGAGCACTATATTTCAACGAGCATTGTATAATTTAGTGGATGCAGAATACAAGATAATATTAAGCACAAAATGTTAATGCAAATATTGAAGGATGTGTGGGCAAAATTATATGATGATATGATTAATT